ATTAATATTGGGATTGATTTAATAGATGAGTAATGCAAGCCGTACATTTGTTGGAAAATTTAACATGACCTGGATGAATTTAATATATACAAAAAAAACGGAAGCGAAGAGAGTGTGCCGTGTGTGAGGCTGATCCCTTTTACTCCTTGTAAGATAAAGCTAAACAATTTACAATAAATCATTGCTATGTATGAATCATTACCAAAATAACCTCTAGAAAAAAATATGTTAAATCCTTTGATATCTCCACCAAAATATTTCATCGTTGGCTACTATTAACCGTGTAATCTATAGTTGATATGAAGCAACTTAGAGTAGAGCCGCAATGTTTTACATCTGAAATCCATCAATGTGGCAATAATGCAATATAATATAAGTAAAACCGCGCCTACATCGAAAATAGGTCATAGACACTTTTCAAGCATCTGATAAGTCAACAAAGATGAAAGATAATGCGAGCTTCCTTTCAATCCCCTATAGAGCGCGCTCCAGTAATACTTAAGAGCTGGTCAGATCAAAACGTCCGTAATAAAAAAAAATTCGAATGTCATTGATCTTCTTTATTCAAACGACAATGTAGTATTTAACTTAATTACAATCCATATAGCCATTAAATATATGCTATCAATTGTTAATTTTGACAAAGACATTGATATTGTATATATCAAATGTCAGATTGGGTCATTTGATATCTGACAAATGGTTCTGATAGATTATTAGATACTATACAATTGGTACGATCCTTACAAGTACCACATTTATTTCTTTTTGTCATTTTAAAAAAGATTTTAATGTTATAATAAATAATAATTTATGTTCGAATGCTGTTTATACCGCATATTAAACACGAAATTTTACATTATATTGTTTGTAGTATATTTAGATAAATGATGAACGACTTCGTTAAACCATAAGCATTGCAAAGCTATATTTATGGATGTGCAACTCATTTTCTTTCTCGAAAAGTATTCACATGTAAAAATATAATTTATGAATGTGTATAACAATTAACGGTTAATAAAAAAAGATGACTATCTTTAAACGCGTGTTTAAAGTTTAAAAGTGGTTATGAATGATGAGATGTGCTTTTTCGTCCGCATCAAGCTTATCAAATAAAAAGAAATGAAACTTTTGTCTGACCATTGAGGAATATTAGAATTTTTATTAACTCATGTTGTGTAAAATATCAAAATACTTTATCTGGAAAACATTATACACTTTGAATCAGAGTATACAAGAAATATTTTATCTAAAAGTTTGAGGCAATTCTTCAAACCGACGTGAAGTTAACTTTGATAAGAAAGGTTTAAATGTAGAAGAACAATATCATGTGGAGAAGAAATAACATTAATGTGTTTCTTTTTTGTAGGAGTAGGAGTATGTAGTATCATAGTATTTTGTTTAATATTTGATCAATGTCCAAATACAAATTTGTAATTTGTAATGTTTCGTAGAATCTTTTCCAGACCCGTCAAATTAACGCTGTTTTAATGAAACATATGCACTTCTGGTTACCTGCATCTCAATAGGTTAAAAAAAAATGCACCATGTTTGACATCATAACGAAACATAAACACTTTATTTATTATTGTTAAAGATGTTCTCCTGAGTGTTTTACGTAGGAATATTTCTTAAGGTTATAGGGAAATTAGAAATACTTAATGCCTTTATGAAGCAAGACAATATAGTTTGATAACAAACAATACATTGTATTGTTTTAGGAATGATTTGATTTTGATTTTTGGTGTTTTAACACCACTTTTAAGCACCGCTTTGGGCAATTCGTGGCGGCCAGTTTTTATTGGTGGAGGAAGCCGGAGTGTCCGGAGAAAACCACCGACCTTCGATAGGAAAACTGACAATCCTAGTCAATTAAGACTGGAGTCGAGTGCACCCGCACGAGCGGGGTTCGAACTCACAACCTCAGTGTTGACTGGCTAGTGATTACAGTAGTAATTACTTAGACCACTCGGCCACCGAGGCCCCCGTTTTAGGATTGAAGTTCACCATCTAGAATGTAGTTATACTTGTGTTCGTACAGATAAATGGGGCTAGTACGAATGGATGAAGGCCCACAATGTTTTTGTTAAATCTGACTTGTTTCAAGATCCTCAACGTTTAATTGTCCTCGAAAAGAAACATGTACCTGTTTATAAACTGCACAGAGACAAACAGTATGATTCTTCAGTTGTTAAAATAGAAGCAAAATACGACGCATTGACAAACATGTCAATAAAATAATCAATAGAAAAATTACTTAATTCCAAGGTTGGGCTCCTTGCTGAACAAGAGTTATGAGAAAAAAATGACTAAAATCGGCAGTCCACAACTGTAACTAAATCCGGTGATTGGTACGATGTTGTTATTGTTCATCTAAAATAATTTGGATATTTAGTCAACATAATAATGATCATTGTCATCCTATCTACAGATTCATCGAAAGTTTCTTGTTCTCTATTGTAAGATGTTAGGTAATTGTGATATGCATACCATCAAAGTAGAGCAGTTTGATGAATTAATATTTGGTGTTCAAGCTATTCAGTCAGGTTTTAATCTGTAATCCTGTACTAAAATTTATATTTTTAATATTGCTAAGGTAAAAGTAAGTCAGCATGAATTCACTAGGCGTTATGACGTATATATCAACATGTCCGTTTGAGGAAGTGACTATCCCGTCTTTACTTTCTTGCATTTTTACATGAGAAATTGTAATGCAGATGATCTAATTTGTATATCTTTAACAAATATTTTTATTTATTATTTGAGTAAAAATAATCATCAAAGCTATTGTGTACACCAGACGCGCAGTTTCTACTAAATACTTTTCAGTGGCGATGAATAATGAAAGTTAACAAGGCAAATAAAGTCAGATGTGAAAGATGATTGAAGACGAACATTCTAAATGATATTTCCAAATACAGCTAAGGTAATGTTTTACTGGGAAGAAAATCCTTAGTGTTTTATATTATTCAAAGTTTTGTCAACAGGTAATTTATAAATATGATCATATCCGTTATAATTCATTTCAACACAGAAGTAAACGACATATTTTTATATCTCAATTCTTTGTAAACATACAAAGACATACATAAATATTTTCAAACATCTTTTGGTGCATCTATATATATTTTAATTTTCGTTCAAAGGTATGTATGCGTGAAGAAAAAGGTATATTTGTTTTGCATTATGAATACCCCCTACTGGGACGAAATTTTTCATAAATATTCAATTTGAATTTGTACTTATACTTAAAAATATAATTTTACAATTCCTGGAATTACAGCTTTTACTATATAAATGTGTTGCCATAACTATGTTGAACGGCATTGTGTCGAACGAGTTCAAATAGTAAAACACAAATTCGGTATTCTAATCCTGAATTATCAGGTAAGTAAATGGTTTGGTGTTGATATTTATTAATTCAAAATAGGAGAAACTATGTTAAATGTAATTGAAAGATGATTGCATTATCAAGTACCAACATCGTTGTATATAGAGGTAAACAAACCAGGTATACGTTCCTTTGTACCATCGTTTGGTGATTATATATCTCAACTTGTTGATTCGCTCGTGTATGTATTAACGTATTTGATTTTAACGAAATAAACATATGTATTGTTTTCGATATCACAAAGTTGCTAAAACTTTTACTAAATTTTATTATCGGTACACGACATCATTTGTAAATTTAAATCAACGTGCAGACATCTTATATGTTCAAGTTATTCCAGCACATCTAGTTTCAAATTGGTAAAATTCTATATAAAACACAAAAATGTCGTCATTCACCTCAAAATCTAACCAAACCTTTAAACAGACTTATTCACAAGGGATATAGTTATGATACTATTGCCTAATCATTTAAGAGTGCATTTGTTTTGGAATTGATATTGATTCATTGATAGTGTCTTTGCATCGAAAATAAACACCTTCAGTAACTGCTGTTAGTCCTTTGTAAATTTATGTTGAGGATTGTTATTTTGCTTAGTTTCTTCAGTTAACTACTCTAACATCAGACTGGAACTTCTCTTAAAATGAGTTTTACTGTGCATATTGCTGTGTGTTTGATTATTCCACATCGGTTAGATGTAAAGGAGAGGGTTGAGATCCCCGCCAGAGTTTTGTGCCTATCCCAAGGCAGGAACCTCTAGCCGTTGTTAGTCTTGAGTGTTTTTCATTTTTTTCCCAAATTTATGCTTCAGAGTGTAATGTGTATTCCATGTCGCTGAACTAGTTTACAAAAGCTTCTTAATTTGGATTTGAACGAACGTAGAATTTGTTCTCATCTCCGCAAGAAACAACAACATTTATAAGAACAATCGTTTAGCTATTCTGGACTTAAAGAATATTTGATAGTGTTTTTCCAATAGCATCACTATCGGTGTTCTATGTCAAACAAACTCTGCCGACACGCATCTGGTGGGGTTAGTTTTGCTCAGTATTAAGTTTGTATGTACTGTTTTGAAAAATGTACTTTTCCAATTCGTTTATTGTTTGTTTTGTTTTGTGATCTTTTATGTTTTTGTAGATATTTCGTAGATCAATGATGTTTGATTGTCACTTTCGGTATCCATATTTTTATGAGCAAATATGTTTTTTTTTAATGTTTCATTAATCGTTATACCATTTTTTAAGCTCATTTTATTAACATAATGTGATAATCGAGTCACGTATCTTATAAATCTAGAAATTATTGCGCGCATTATTATTGCGATTCTTGAGGACCGAACAGAATGCAAGATTAATTCTTGTGTTTTCAGGAAAAGCTGCATACACATACATGTATCAGATATCAGAATGCAACTTCCAGTTAATGCAAAACTCACCCAGTCGCATTATTCGCATAAATAAAAATATCGCATTCAATTCTGAATTTACAGCATTGTATAACATATTTATTTTCAGAAAGAACAAAAAAACAGAAAATGTCGGTTACTGCTACAAAATGGGACATCAAAGCTTGCTACAAAAATGGCAAATGCAGAACTATTGTAACAGTTATGGAGACATTTGCTGGATGTACAGAAATAAAGAAAAGGGATATCACATTTGATGGTCGTCCTTCTGAACAAGAAATTGTAAGTTTTACAGCTACAAAATTATAAGTTGATATTGTGTTTTCTTAATCGTATTTGTTTGTGTCTAAAAGCTCGTTTTTATCAAACAAAATCTTTCATTGATGTTTATTAATCCAGCCTCTATTTGAAGATTAAAGTCATTGATGTTTTTTTTTATTATATGATGTTCTCATTTTCCTCTAATTCCAGTGGTAGACGTTAAACCCATCGTGCATAATGTTTTCAATGATGTCATTGTTTAGAAAATGTCGGAACTATTTTACCTCTTATACATCAGTCATGTAAAAAGCATGTGCAAAGAATGTTAAAATTTTCCAATATTCAGTGAAATATTTCAATCATTTCCTTTTCATTCATTTTTTTCTGTTCATTTTTATTATTTGATTGTTTTACAAATCAATAAGTGTTCAGATCATTCAACGTATGCACGTTTAGCAACAAAAAATGAATCATGTCCATCATATACTAGACGAAACCGTGTTTTTTTCCAAGTTACTTTAAACGGTGGCTTCACACTGACGTTTTACATATTTGAATTTGAAACATGTTTATCATCACTTTAGATGATACATGCAAGTAGGGCTTCATTACTTTATACGCAGTTGCAATACTTGCATTCAAAATAGTTTCCTAATCACTCTCAGGTAATAATATAGACATTTTGAATATTAAAAATGTACCTTTATAAAACTAAGGAGTTGTTTTTGTAACCTTTTTACCGATATACATAAGTTTGATTTGTATTTTGAGAGTTTTCCTATTCAGCTCGAAAATTAAAATACCATACAAAATTATTTGTGCATCATAAACTAAAACACTTATAAGTTTTGTAAAAATATGTTAAAGTTGGTTGAGGCGACGAAAATTTAATAAGTTTTTGAGATTAAAAAGAGATTCGTAGGACAAAGCGGAATAACTCAGATCTTTATTAAAGGAAACTGTATGTTTTGACTTCTTTGGTTTTAACAGCAACCTAATACAACAAACGAAGAAAAAGGAAAATTGAATGCTTTTTATGATATTCAAAATCTGTATGAAGTAACAATATGATACATTGAATAGTTAATATGTACTTTTTTTATGCAAAAAGAATTTCATTTACACTATTTTGATGGAACGTATTGATAATCCCCCAAAATTTAGAAGATTTCGCGTAACAAAATATACAGTTTATAGTTAATAATATTAACAAATACAGTTCGACCGTTGAACACAAATTTACATGAGCATTACCTTAACCATGCAGCATCCGGATAAACACAACATCAACAACTCTTTCATATATTATGGTGTTTATAGTATTTGAACGTGTGCACATCTATAAACCTAATTTTTAATTCAGTTTCGTCCCTTGCGGTAATAGTCATGCTGTCATTTATTATGTTGGGAAAGAGGTACTATTATATCGTACTTTTTCCTACATTAATTGACCCATTATCGAAGTTCAACATTTCAAAAGTCTTTTGCATCTGCATGCTAAATCAATATGTGTATTCTTCAGGAAAAACCCTATGTTTTGTACTTTTGTATTTGACTTATATCACCAATAAATCTTATATCATCTATTCTGTATTGTCTTCAATAAAAGAGGTTAAGGCACGTCTACGTCATTTGGCCATGACGATGTCAGTTTTTTTTTTTCGATCTGTGAGTTTGACTGTCCCTCTGGTATCTTTCGTTCCTCTTTTGGTCTATGGTTGAGTGTTGTCTACTTGACAATCATACCACATTTTATATCAACATGTTCGTTTATTTCCTAACATCAGTAAGTGAAAATAAGTACAGAAATGTATATATTGCACCATCTCATACATTCTATTCATCGATCTCTCAACAGATGTATAAGATTGCATCGACGCAAGAATCACTGAAACCAACGCTTGTCAATAAGGCACCAGACGACTTTGTGATAGAAGCAGTTGACGCTCATAACGCGTTACGTCAAAGACATGGACTTCCGCCACTGAAAGTGTCACATGATTTATGTAGTATTTCACAGAAATGGGCAGATTATTTGATAGATACCAACGAAAGTGGACCTAGCTTAAATGGATTAGGAGAAAACATAGCTGAGAAGAAGGGGAATTCTGAAAACTTAGATTATACAGGTTGTTATATAAACATAATTTAGAATCAGTCAACAATTCTAAAGGGATACATGTTGTTGGAACTTCTGAAAAAATCGCTTATGCAGGTTTATTAACATTTCAATCAAGAAGACGTCAATAAACAACCATATCTCTTGATATTAAAATGCCATCAAACAAAATAACTTGGGAAATTTTTAAATGTTCAAATAGAAAAAAAAACCAATCATTGGAACAATAAATTGCCAAAAATGATTATATTTTAACAAAGGTCAGTTTCAAATATGTTCTTAAACCACACTTCATTGACCGCACTCGTTCGCACGTATTTGTTTCCTGTGATTTTTATACTTTTACCCGTTACTGTTCGCAAAAAAAAATAACAAAAAGAAACCTAGAAAAAAAAATCAATTGAAAAAAAAGGAAACACAAACAAGAATAATTACAACGATAGCGTTGAAATAAGATGTTATCCATTGTATACGGAAGGTTTCATGTGGTAACCATACAATCAAATTCCGGGAAACATGCTTTCTTTTTTTTTAAATTGATCAGTTATATCTGTTAGGTTGAAAGTTATCTGTCCACCTAAGGTTGACAATTTCATAAAAACCTAAGGTTCGATATTACAGGAAAGGCAGCAACTCAATCCTGGTACCGTGAATTTCTGAATTACCATTGTTTTAGAAAGGAACCACCATCGTCTGAGGAAAGGGGAGGTAGGTAAGGCATAAAGTAAACAGAATATGCACTGATTAGTGGGATTAAAGTAAGAAGTTGCTTGCTTATGTGTAAGACCTAACTGAAAAAAGTAAACCAATGACATTTCATCCTCACACTGGTTTAAAACAACTGTACAGCGTCATTACAGTGATTTTCAGTGGCGCTCAAATCAAAATGGTTAACATTGATCTAAAATCCCGATAAACTGTTGCTTTGTAACGCCCGATGATATAAATACATTAACACAATGACATTAATTCTGTATTGATATTATTTAAATATTTTTGTAAACGGATACCAATATGCAGTTCATTTTCTTGAAGATTCCCTGAATGTCTGGTACTTTTGAATATTGAATGGGTATCTTTACCATAGCTGTGTCAGTGTAGTAATTATTAACAGTGTATACAATTTTCTTGTTGAATAAACAAAAAAAAACGAAGGTAGTTAAGGGAATTATCATATGACTGAAGATTATAATCAAAATGTTTTGAAAGGAACTAAACGAGTAAAACGTGTTCGAGAAGACCAAGCGCGCAGACGAATTATGTTATATATAATAATATGAACACAACTTTTGAAGTTTTTTTGCGCAACTTGAAAATGAAATATTTTATAATGATTTGTGCAGTTACCTATTACTAGATTATATATGTTCTTTAACACATAGATGTCAGAATACGAAGTACAAGCGAACGTTATTGTATCTTTGGCCTAAATATGGAAATGAATCTAAATTTTCTAAGGCTTATTAGTTTTCCTTCAAAGGGTTTTACAGTTACTGTTTTTCTTTTTGCATTGCAGACATGCAGTATGGACATTTCACTCAAGTGATATGGAAAAATACAAAGGAAATGGGTATTGGAAAAGCCAAGAGGAATGGCAGAGTCGTTGTTGTGGCCAACTATAGACCATCGGGAAATTGCATTGGTTCCTATGCAAAAAATGTCTTTCCAGCAAGACGCTGATGGCACTTTTGCAGGAAATGTTTCAGATTTTTAATTTCATTTCAATAACTATGTATCTATTCTTCAAGTATTAATGCTAATGTAATCGAAAGGTCTGCTACCTGGAATTTATAATTAAACACATGCTATCTTTTTTATATTTGATTGACCATATATATAGTCTTTCAATTGAAATTTCACTTATGGTGGATATTGTTATGATTAGGTTATCAGAATTTTAAAAATATGTCGTCATCGACCACCTCTGAAGAGATATGTATTGTCTGAATGCGGATCTGGTGGAGTAAAAATAAACAGCATTTATGTTTTAAGAATTATGTATTTATTGATTTACTATAATTTCATAAAAATATATTAAAACTCATCAAAGAAATAGTTTGCTTTTTTCTTCATATTTTCGTATGTTTAATAAGTTAACTAAAAGCACACTTTTAATCATAGAATTTATGTCATCAACACTAAGATTAATAAATTTGCATAAACAAAAATTGTTTTCTAAGGATTTAGGATACTAAGGATTTTCTACTCCAGGAATATATTACCTCAGCTGTATTTGGCAAAACTTTTTGGAACTTTAGGTTATCAACACTGTTCAATTTCGTTCTTAATTTGGTCTTTATCACTTTTTTGATTCGAGCGTCACTGATGAGTCTTTTGCAGACGAAACGCCCGTCTGGCGTACAAAATTTCAATCCTGGTATCTATGAAGAGTTTATTCAGAGTATTTTATTGATTCTTATGCTTTTTCATTCGAATGTTTAATAAATCAAATAAACCAATAAAAAACTGCTCAATACAGTTAAGTCTGTCTCATATTTTGACTTAACTCAAGGAATTAACAATGAAGGTTGGCTAAAATCAAAACTTTACCACATACAAGATGATTTCAGCTTCTAAATGATGTACATATTTTTGTACGAACATTCCAGCAGTGCTTGCATACGGAATATATATCACCCAATTGATAAGATATGCAAAAGCTTGGAATTCGATTGATGATTACATAGAACGAGGGTCGTGCTTACAAGAAAGCTTTTAAACCAAGAGGTGAAGTTGAAATCATCTCTTCGAGAATTTTACAGACGCCATCACAAGTTGGTCCCTTCTTTTTGTAAATATATGTCTTTCAACAATGTCCTATGTGTTAACTTCAGAAATATCAAAACGTCATCCAGACACGATTCTAGTTATCAAAGACATTAATACAACTTTAAACTCGAATCAAATCGATATCAGTTAAGGTTATTGAAAGGTGTGTTAAACTATGTACACCGGAACTAACTTCTTCTTCTGTGTATAAGCCTCCTGTAAGTAGGAGCACCTCCCTATGGGGTATAAACCATTAGTAATTTGAATCAATTATGTACAGCACATACATATAAATTACAACAAATAAATTTATATTTTTTCTTTTTATATGGCATATATACAGATACTCGGTCTTACTATAATATTATATAATTCAGCAATGGATGTTCAAATCAACTAATATTGTTTAAAATATGAATAAAAGTAAACCAAATTTTGTTAAAAGATAAAATAAGGTAAAATATGATAAAGTATGATAAAATATGAAGTTTTCAACCGCATTAACAAATTTAAATTAGCAAGTTCATTTTGATAAACAGTTTTCAAAAGATAAGTTGAGTTTCTCCTATAAAGTTTTTTATTGGTTTTAAGGTACAGACAATGAAAGAATGTTAGCATTTCAATCTTGCTCTTTCCTTTTTGAATCGCACAAGCTTTAACTATTCAGGATGGTATGTATTTTATTCTGGTGATACATACATATAATACATGTTTAAACCCGCCGCATTTTTGCGCCTGTCCCAAGTCAGGAGGCTCTGTCCTTTGTTAGTCTTGTATATAGATATAGGAAGATGTGGTATGAGTGCCAATGAGACAACTATCCATCCAAGTAACAATTTATAAAAGTAAACCATTATAGGTCAAGGTACGGCCTTCAACACGGAGCTTTGTCTCACACCGAACAACAAGCTATAAAGGGCTCCAAAAATTACTAGTGTAAAACCATTCAAACGGGAAAACCAACGGTCTAATCTATATAAAAACGAGAAACGAGAAACACGTATGAACTACATAAACAGACGACAACTACTGTACATCAGATTCCTGACTTAGGACATGTGCAAACATTTGCAGCAGGATTAAACCTTCTCCCTTTTCTGAAACAATAGTATAACATCACAACATAAAAAGACACATTATAAAATATCAATTGGAAGGCTTAACTCAATAAAAAAAAAACGTGAATTAACACACAATGAACGAATGAATTTGATCTGTGATACCTGAATGCAAATACATAGTTCATAAAAAGTATAAGGGATGAATAATTAAGTTCAAAAGTAAATAAACATGTTTAAACAATGTTAAAGTATGATACCACTGTGAAATGTTAAACAATTTTTAGAAAATCATCACTTTTGAAAAAACTTGCGTCATATTAAACACAGGTAAATGAAAATAATTTTGTTGTTAATTATACTTCTTCTTCTGTATGTATGTTTTTTAATTTGAGTTCATTTATATGTTTTGAAGTGTAGTGTGTCCATTTTCACTGATCTAGTAATTAATTTTATTTAGGGGCCAGCTGAGGACCACCTCCGGGTGCTGGATTTTCTCGCTGCGTTGAAGACCCATTGGTGGCCTTCGGCTGTTGTCTGCTCTTTGGTCGGGTTGTTGTCTCTTTGACATATTCCCCCTTTCCATTCTCAATTTTATTACAAATGAAATCAGTAAATACATATGACAAGTCTGAACGAAAGATATATAGATATGCGTGCGTTGTTTTTTGGATAATCTATAATAAAGATAATTATTGATTATATCGTTATTACCCTAACAACCGCCAATAAAAATACACGAAAATACTAGGCAAAAATCGATAAGTATCATCCATATATATTTTATTTTATTTTTCATGGAAGTTCGTTTGCGCATATAAGTATATTAAAATCGTGAACGTTTATAATAGACTCATCATAGATACCAGGCTTAATTTTTTGTACACCAGACGCTTGTTTTTACTTTCGAGGACTCTTCCGTGACGATCGAATCAAAAAATTTTTGTTCTATTATATTCACTATCTCAGTACTATGTCTGTAAGTGTTACAATAGGAGTTACGAAACTTTTAAATATGCTATTGGTGTTTTAAAAGAATGTTAAAGCGTGTACGACTGTAATTCAATCACTAAAATTTTGTCTTGATTTTATCACAGAACAAAAGTTAGAAATGTTATCGCTTTAAAAGATAAACACCCCAAACGATATTGTTATCCTAAATCTAAGTAGGTTAGATTGGATCTTCAGATTTCTTGTTAATATTGTACATGTATACGTATGAACCTATCAGATAATATTACATGCCGACTATTTTAATCTTTTCTTTTACCGCATTTAATTCTTTACACTGTGTTACGTTTTAAATGATTTTATGAGATTATAAAATATTTATTCATACTATATAACACGAACAGTTTTTTGCAAAGTAATGCCCGTAAAGTCGGAAACAATCGATGCCTTCTAAGAACTAAACAAATTGTCCTACGTAATACAGATCGGATCGCCTTGAAAAACTTTTTTATCTTGAATGTTCAATATATTTCAATCTAAATATATATATGAATCGTCATTTCATGAAGGTTTTTTTCTAACATGTAACTCAAATCGTTTTACTTTTTATAAAATATTTTCTGTGTTTTACTAAACAGATATGCTGACATCAAATATTTTTAATTCGCTGTAAAATGTAATGAGAACTACAATAATCATGGGAAATAAAAAAAATTACGGTTGATGTACTTTGTGTTGTTGAAGCCAAATACTAAATTAATTATTGATTCAACTTTCAGTTTTGTTTCAAGCACTACTGACTGTTGTGTCCCATGAATATAAACTAAAGTAATCAGGGGGCAATCTATAAATTTACATAAAGTGCTTATTTTTGAACTATCTATTTATGGTTTATGATATTTTGTTTGTCTTTCTGTCATTTTGTTTTTTGTTATTTTGTCAAGACATTGTTAATATTTCTTTCGACTTAAAATTATGAATGTTCCTGTACTTTTTGCCTTTCTTTAATAAACTTTGTGAAATAATATAGTACCACATATTAATATTCAAACTACCTTATATCTATTACTTAACACGACAATAGTGTTTTGACAAAATATCTTTTTAAGGATGTTCGCTACTCTGTTTCAAAATAACCAGCTTTTTAAAAGACTATTATAAATTGATAGTATATAAATAAAGGAACTGAAAAAGTAGAAAAAAATTTAGGGTCCGTGTGCTTGTTTTAGAGATATAAGCCATTGAAAATTTGGCGGGAAATACTTCTCTCTAGACTTTTCTTACATTTAACATTGGCACCCTTTTTCTTTCAAAAATTATGAAAAAATAACAAGGATTTTATAGGATTTTCAAATATGGCTTTTTAAACTATTAGTAATAAAATTGTGATAAGAAAAGTAGGGGTTAGCGGGGAAAATTGTTTAATGACACTACATGGATAAAACCAGAGGATTCCGAATATCTGGCAAAAATTCAAAAACAAGAGGAGCAAACATCCTTAAGATGATATTCTCTTCTTTAATACTGAAATCCAAATGTCGGTGTGATTTAACCATCTCTTAGTTATGACCTTTTTTAATGTAATGCATGATGATTCGGTTACAATACAACTTGTAAATAATTAGAACTGAAGATAGAAGATAAGGTTCCCAATACAAAAATAAATTATGTTTTAAATTCTCAATTCCATTGAATCTGAGGTACGTTAACTAGGCATAAATGCACGCCGTTTGGTTATCGTAGAATGAAAGATCAGATTATATAAATAGTATATGTCATTATACTATTTATGTTAAATATCTTCAGTTTGATACAATGGTAAAATTAGATCATCTGCTTTTGAATTATTTCTCTTCTCTGACCAAAAGGCAAACGCAAATTAGTAGTACTAACAAATTAAGGCAACAGTAGTTACCCGATGTTCAAATCACATGTTTAGAGTAAGAAGATAATAATAGGTTAAAAAAAAAAAAAAACTAACGGAATAGCATGAATCCCCAAAGGACGCGAAACCGAGTGCGTTGACAGGGTAAGCGTGAAAACCGGAGATAAAAGTAAACCTAGAATGTTATTTTCAGTATCAGGTAAGAATATGTGACTCTTTTCACTAATTGTGGATTAGCATGCGTATCGATTAGTTGTAACAGGATGGGAGATAACTTTTTGAATTAATTTTTCCATTGTTTACTGGATGAAAAAGGTTATTATCGACGTCATCTTAGATTGATTTAATGTATAACAGGATTCAAGATAGTGCTTAACGGGAGAATAATTTTTTAAGACAGACACCTAACTCCTCTACTTCCATTGCAATAACTTTTTAAATATCTGAATGACAGAAAACAGTTTAATTTTCTGAAATGGGTTTGTTTCATAATAGTACTAAAATTACATGTCAATATTATATTTGTCTTGATATTTAAATACCTATCACGAATTCAGTTTTATTTTTTATATACTAATACCAACGGGAAAATACGAAACATAAGTTTGAAAAAAAGAGATATAAAAGGCCAAAATGATGTGACGAAAAACAGACAACGGTGCATAAACATGATAAATAGATGCAAAGAACAATATAGACCGAGTAACACGAAATGTGCTTAAAACATTAAAGAAACAATATGTTCTCTTTAACATGCTATTGTTACAAATTTTCGATACAAAAGAACGCCAACTCTTACATTTCATATAACAATGGTTGTTTATGTTGTACAATGTCAATCACCACTAAACAATATTTGTTTAATGATCTCTATCTGTGCGTTATAAGATTTTCCTAATAGTTCCTTATGTTTTCATTGCAATTGAATTAAGTTTGAAGATATATGTTTTTCCAGATAATTTATCAATAAAATTCTGAGAACTATAGTTATTTTGATTATCGGATATAATTTTTCCAGATAAAATATAAATAAAATTCTTAGAACTAAACTTATTGTATAGGACACTACATAAATGAATTTGATTATCGGATATCATTTCACAAAAAAACTTTAACTGGAAGCACATATTAAATTTAGATAACTTTAATTCAAGGTATGTACTTGGTTAGGTGGTAATATTTATGTGTCCTCATAATGTTTAACCTTATAAATTAATGATAAAAATAGCCGCATAATTTCAAAATTAACTGCGTTGCCTCTGACTAAGATTATATCGAGTTGAGCACATTATAAGGAACGACGTCTTTCTATGATACACCTGAACTGTATTATAAGAAATATATTATTTCTGATATAGACCTAGTGACATCACTTGGTTTCATTCCTTCCGATATTTAGTTGATTATGTACACTTTCAAATTATACCAAAATATAATACTTATTAATTTCTTGATTAGATATGTAGACAGTCTCTTGTTGTTTATGCAGAATGTTGATACTGACTGTTCCAATCATTCAACTGTTTGCCTTAAATCCTAGACCACAACATCTTTTTGAGACAAAACATTTAAGGTCCTATTGTATCAGTTGACTTAATGTGTAAGAAACATATTTGATTTATAATCATAGCTATTTTGTCAATATAATGGAACTATAAACAACAATTTGAGGTTTAGCAACTATAAAAACATTTTTAAACACAACATTCTTCGGAAAATGCCTGTACCGACACAGCAATATGACAGTTGTTTTCCAATCGTGCCTTTGGTTGAAATAGTCGACCGTTTAATTTTGTCGGGTTTTATGAATTTCCCTACTTTTTTAATTTACCTTGGAGTTTTGTATTTTTGTTCATACATTTTTTCAGAACAATTATCAAATAAAATGTCGATAGTTTCAACAGAATGGAACAGCAAATCTCGCACAGTTAATGGTGAATGGGCAACCATTGTAACAGTTCAGGAAACTTTTGAAAATCGTGATGGAAGTACTGAAATAAAGACCCGGAAAATTGAAATGGAGGGAAACCCAGATAAAGCAACAATGGTAAGATATCCAAAACAAAACTGTATTTGTTAAATTGGTTGAACTATTTTTATTTGATAATTTCAATTTTAATCCTGATCTTTATTTTGTCGTATCATTCTGATTGCAGCTGCAAGAAATGAAAACAAATGGTATTGTTCTGTTTGACTACGTGAAATACAATCAGTTTCTTTTACTGGTTTGATTGGTTATTGTTTTTAAATCGTCACTTTTAAAAATACAAAACCTTTCTAAAATTGTCCGTTGATAAAATTTTGAAATTATAAAGAAACTAAGGTTTGAACTCCCTCAGGCAAAGTTGATCTTAGATGAATTTGGCTATTTGTTTTATGTATTTTTGTCATATAGCACTTCAACGGATTCGGTACTTATACATCCCTCGGATTTCAAATGTTTGGCTTTGAGTGTTCCTGATGAAAATCAGGAAAATGAGTAGCTAAGGTCAAAGATTTATATCTGTCATTATAAACCTAATAAAAGAATTCGAACTTGCGAATTGTTTCTTGATTTACATTATTCGGGAACACCAATCAACGCCTAATCATTTGAAAGCAGGGGATGTATAAAAACATTACAAGTTACTGGCTATATGACTAAACGTGAATCGCAATATAAAGACTTTTAACATAAACTTTACTGAATGTATCCCCGAAAAAGTAATATATATTACAACGTGCCATTTGTTTGTTTGAATAACTTGTTATTTTTTTCCTAGTTTATGTGTAATCATTTGATTGTTTTATTTATGTATTAAAAGAGATTGAGAGTCTGTGAAATTTCTTTGCTGTTTTTTTAATCAAGCCAAGGAACGTACAGTGCATAAGCGAGTTTTTTTTTTGCATTTAATAAAATAAAACAAAAATGATTAAAAAATGTATAATTTTTACAATTGTTCATGTTTTGTTTCTGTGAATGTCACATTAGAAAGCTGCAGTTGAATCAACTCAACAACAACCTGCAGTAATAAAACAGTCACCAGAAGACTTCGTTAGAGAAGCAGTTAGAGAACATAACACGTTACGTCAAAGACATGGAGTACCGCCTCTGAGTATTGCACAGGATTTGTGTGACGTTGCTCAAAAATGGGCAAACTATTTGATAGATAACAATAAATACGAACACAACTCGAGTGGATTTGGAGAAAATATAGCAGAGAAGACAGGGGATTCTCGTAACTTAGATTATGCAGGTTGTTCGATAAAAATAATTATAAGGGAGGGCATAACATTTTTTGGGAACAATTGCAAATTTTACAAACTAAATTATTCAAGATCAATTCATTTTAAGCAAGAACACATAATAAAATAATTGGTGAATATATTGTCGCATTCACAATCATACCACGGCTCTTTAGCTTAAATTTTGATCTAACAAAATGATTTGCGAAAAACATATTTGAGTATCAAATCCACAAAGCATTCTTAAACACTGTTATTATTAATGATACTAATGCAGAGCCTTAGATTAAAACACCACTTGATTAATCTAACTCTCTTTTGCATTTATTTGTTTCCTGTAATTTTTATAAATTCGTTTGTTCAATTCCATTGGCCATACGAAAACTGTATTCAGAGCAAATTCGAATAATTTAAACGATAGTATGCAATTATTATGGAGGCCCTTAATCAGAAATGGTTATTTGGTACCCATCTATTCAAATGTCATAGAACAGTCTAATGTAACTTTTTAATTGATTAGTTAAATCTATAAATATGCACTGCACCTTACTAAGGAAGGGTTGAAAATTGATGTTTCGCCTTCACTTTTAATGCGATTATTTATGTGTTTGATGATCACTAGAGTTTAATGTTTTTGGACTCACAGACAGTTGTTCTCGAGAAAGCTTGACGAAATTAGAAAAAAAGCTTACATTCCAATATCATAATAAGGTTAAGCAGGCTTTGTAGGAGCGAAAAACATTCTATAACATACATTTTTGCAAAGTTGAATTACCATTCTGTGTTTTTGTTTGATAGTAGAGAACAAAAAGACCTATTAGCCAATTGATTAACATCTATTAACATACTGATATATAACTGATATAATTTAAGTAATTCCAAATCATTTGTTATATGTATATGAACATGATGATTTAAAAATAAACAATGACAGCGACATAGTCGTAGGATGCATATTGATTTATTTGTTTTATGTGGTTTTAAAATATGGTAAAACGAGGAAAAAGATATCAAAGGGACTATTTGAACTCAAAAGTCGACGAAAGAATCAAATAAATCATAACAACAAAACAAATTGCGACGAAAAAAAAGGAAGTCAACAAAACACTCCGTAAAAAACTATGACAATATATTTACATAAGTTTTATAATTACAGGATGGGCAGCAACGAAGTCATGGTACAGTGAAATAAAGGATTACACATTCTTTGGTAGTGAGCCACCTTCGAAAAAGGACTTGCGAGGTTGGTAAAAAGTAAAATAACAAAAATACCGAACTCCGAGGAAAATTTAAAACGGGAGGTCCCATTTCAAATGGCAAAATCAAAAGCTCAAACACATCAAACGAATGGATAACAACTGTCGTATTCCTGACTTGCAAGTTTATAAAGAAAACAAAATATGTGCCTAAATATATGCAGAAATATTTGCAGAAATCAAAACAAAGATAGGAACTAGTATGAACTCACCCTGACATCAGGCTTAAAATCAGGTGTAAAGTAGTTTTAACAAGGATCGTCACCGGAGCTTGAATAAAAAGGGTAAAAATTACCAAACGATGGTAGATTTAAGATACTACAATAAATTAGAGGAAACAAATGATAATGTTTCGAAAACCCAGCGTACAAAAAATGTATACTGTTAATATTGAATATATGATATGAAATTTTAAAATATCAAATTTATGAAAAAAATTGCAATGGTTTTTGTATATACTGTTAACTAGACTTCAAATGTTAAATAAAGAATAGATTTCGATCCTCGATGTAAAGGTTAGGAATTAATTTGATATTTCTAGGGCATACTAGCTTTCTTTTCCAGGGAGTATATAGTTAATTCTGTCTTTTTCAAAGCAGGCGTCAAGATTGGCCATTTCACACAAGTAGTATGGAAAAATTCAAAGGAAATGGGCATTGCAAAAGCCAAGAGGAATGGCAGGGTCGTTGTTGTAGCCAACTATAGACCGGCAGGAAATTGCATTGGTTCTTATGCCAAAAATGTCTTTCCACCAAAAGGATGATGTAACTTTTCCAGGGAAATTCGAATTTGATATTTCATTTATATGACTATATCTCTATTCATCAGATATGAATGTTAATGTATTCAAAACATTTGCTACCTGAAAAATATGATTACTATCATTTTGTCGTTTTATATACAATAAAGCACGCATTGAATCCAAATAAAAACACACTGTTATTTTACTTTTAGTTAATGTTGTAGTGAATAGGTGCATTTTTGTGGTAATAAGTATTTACATAAAAGCATAATTTAAGTTATTACCAATACAAATTACACTGTTTAAATAAAAGGAAGGGACAATTATGATACAACCAACCATAAATAAAGATATATAAAACAATGGAATACATTAACAAAAAATCTTTATAAGTTATGAGATAGTGTGGTAGTGTTAATTAATGTAAAAGTAGTATACACATTTTTAAATCTCGCAAATCGATTGAAAAGAGACAAATCAAGGCAACAAACAAGAAACTGAGAGAATCACATGAACTCTTAAAGGAGCCAGACTGGGTCTGGCGATATGGTGAGCGTCTCCTGGTATGTTTACAATGCTTATCATGGGAATCAACACTTAGGAAAAATTTCTTAATCAGGAATTGGATACAATCGATCAATTCTAAGAAAATACGGCTATATTCTGGTATCTAAAGAGACCACGAAAACATGTTGCTAGTGAGTTGAGACACAGAAATAATGTATTGGGCAACCAATTCGTGATATTGACGGTAAATATTTTTGAGCGTAGATGTCAGTTGGTTTTTCTCATTACTCTGTTAGAGTAATGTTTATGATAGGAGCATCAGTCTCACCGCAGAAGTTGAATAAAATACATTAGTCTCCATAAAGATGAACAAATGAATACTCTTTTACTGCCACACAGTTTGACAACAGTTTATAATAGGTAT